TCTACAAAATTATCTCAGTTATTATTAAAAAACTGATTATTTTTGAAAACTTTGCCACCCTGTATCTCAAAAGTTAAGGCGTTTAGGACATACGTCCATAGGACGTTTTTTCCTTAAAATGGGTCTAAGAATTACCTCCTTAAATATTAGCATGTGTTTAAGGAACACCCTGTATAAGCGGCAGCACTCACTACCATACGAAATAAAATGGAATGAAGTGAAATAAAATACAATGAAATAAAGGAAAATTAAATAATTTGAAATACCAAATATTTGAGAAACTGTTATTTCTACCATTTCATCTGTATTACTACATGTTGCCCACTCAATCAGGAATACGTTACTATCATTTCCAATGAATAAATAAAAAGCATTCTAACACCATTCCGTAACTAAAAAATATACCTCCAATTCATTTGAAATATTAACGAGCTTCCCTCAGCAAGATAATTGGAAAACAAACCGGTTTAACTCATAATTCCCCGTTCTGTAATTTACTGATACATTCCTCCACACATCCCATTCCACCTTAATAATTCATAAGAGATACATTCTCCTTTGTGTTCCAATTCGAGTCTTGAAACGGAAGCAACTCTCCCGCATGCCAAACTTCCTGAAAAGTTACATTTTGCTTGCAGGAAGACGGCCTCACAGAAGTAAATACCTCAATAGAGGCGGACGATCCGAACGTGGAAGTTCAGCTGAAGCAAGTTTTAGAGGACCTCTCAACGGGATGCGGAAAATACGTCACGATCTCCAAAGCCTCGATGACGGGCCCGGGCACAGGAAAAACGAAACTGGATAAGGAACACTTGAAGTTGTGTCAGAGAGAGATTGTGAGTGTTTATTTGAATTATACACAATATCAGTGAAGAATTGGATACGAGAATCGATTTATTACCATCATTAGCTCAGTTCATATTAATGCAGCAATCGATGTGTATTCAACAATTTAGAAGAATATATTTATCGCTAACTGTATAAGTACTTTTGCACCGTACAACAGAAAACTAAGAATTGAACAGAGGCAAAACATTTTTCAAAAGGTTTCAGATTAATTTAAAATTTAATATAAATATACGGTAATATTTTTATCAATATGGTTAAATATGTTCTGAAGGGTATAAATATTCATAAAATACTAATGAATTCTCGATATGCACTCAAATTGTTGGAATTCGTTCGATAAATTCAATTTATTCACGCTCCATTGAGATTTCAGGTTTTCTGAAATGATGGCATTTTTAAAAATAATATTCGAATGATTCGAATAAAAATTTCATGATCACCAATTAAAAACGTTACAGAAAAGCTAGATCACAGATAGTGTTTTCCTGAAGGCTACCACTTCAAAACGTGTTACTCTACTCTACTCTACTTAATCTACTTTGCAGCAATGTGAAATAAAAGTGAAGCAATATATTTGACTGTGATGCGACACTTTCTGTGACTTTTCTCCATCCTTCCACAACATACGCAGATGAATACAAACATCCAAACGTTCACATCGCTTACACGGAAACGTCTGAAACTAATGGTGATTCCTAGCCGCAATTCGTATATCTGATGACGTCACTCCTCCATCCGCTGAACCACTTCTTTGAGTTTGTTTTCTGAAGCATACAATTCACTAAGAGATATTTGACACTATTTTCCAAATTATCTGTCTTGATAGAATAAAGTGGCAATGATCGTAATTTTCCTACGTTTTGTGCACACAAAAATAATACCAAGTCGCCAAGAACGGGGACCCACTTTTTAGTTACAAGTTGAATTTTTGGAGAATCTTCGACATCCAGCTCAGACTGTAAGAATTGGCGAAGGCGTGCAATAGTGTCCTCGGTATACATAATGGTGAACGCAAAAGGATAAACCGTACGGTTGCATTTATATTTGTGCACAAAATATTTTTATCACTCGTTATATCAACTCAAAATTAATACAATTCGCCGAGAACGAAAAACCAATTCTTGTTACAAGTTGAATTTTTGGAGAATCATCGACATCCAGCTCAGACTGTAAGAATTGGCGAAGGCGTTTGTTTTCAATATAGGTAATGGCTCATATTATGAACAGCATAAAGGAACGCCTATGGGTAACCCATTGTCTCCATTTATAGCGAACCTATTCATGGGTAGGTTTGAGATGGAAGCTGGGAAAGAACTCAGTTACTTCCCTAGGGTCTGGATCAGGTATGTTGATGACATATTCGCAAGGATAACCAGAATCGAGAATGTTCTTTCAGCACTAAACAACAGGTGTAAGAGTATAAAATTCACATATGAAGTAGAAAAAGAACGAAAGTTGCTGTTTTTAGATGTATTGGTTATAAGGAACGAACAGAACGAAATAGAATTTGACATTTACAGGAACACGGGCACTTTCAGATATATTCCACAACACAAAATTGCGGCACTGCAATTTCTGGTACACAGCTTAATAACTTTTCCTTTAAAGAAATATAAATACGACAATGAAAAGAGAGTGAATCGGTAAGTAGCTGAAGCAAACGGTTTTAACCCAGATATAGTTGACAAAATAATTAGAAAATGCAAGTTTAGGAAAGCACTTCGTAAATCTTCGACTTTTCAAAAAGAGGAGAGTAATAACAAGTTTATAGTGATCCCATATGAACCCCAATATACGAGAGGGCTTCAACAGACATTGATGGTCGCTCAAGAAGTTGAAGCATTCCAAGTATTGAAGATCTGAATTGGAAGATTTTGTCTTGCTCTTTTTGGGTATTAGGTGATCAAGTAATCATCTAAAAATCAACCGTTGAGTAAGGTGCAAATTGTTAGGCAATTTTTTTTATCACAGTTGTTACTACTAAACTTGATGCACTTGATGAAAATGTATGACGGCTCAACCCATTCACTAGAAAGAAATAAGACCGTTGGGCCTGTCTGACCACAGCTTGCTAATAAGTGTAAAAAATCCGTTCTGTATTTCCAATTCCTCCACAAATGTTGAAGTTCAAAAACAACCGAAAAAACCTCAAATATACATTATTTCCACTATGGTGGTTATATAAGTGCATCTAGAGATTTTCTGAGTTGATTCCAAATGAAAAGTGTTATTGAAAAACACATTTTTCCTACATTTTCCTATTTAATTATATCCAGCCTCCATTGATAATTCATAAGTTAATGTTTCTCTTGTTTTCCACAGGAATACATTGGTAATTCTGCCAGGAGCTTGAGAGCTTTAATCACGAAGAATTCCTTCAAGAGCCGGTACAAAAAAGCGCAGACCTTCCTGGGAAAATTGAAATTCCTCACAGAAGATGTAAGTGAAACGTTATGCCTGAAAAATATATTTATCGGGTGGAAGGTAACTATTACTTTTATATGCTTGTAAAGTGAATCAAGTTCATATTTTTTGCTTCCAGTTTTCAACGAGATGAACAGATTGAATTAGAGAATATTTCATTTGATGAAACATACTTTTTTGCTGCTGATTTTTTTCCATTGCTCGTTGGAGAAGTGTTTTTGATATACAATTTCAAATGTTTTGATATCTTTTCGAAATTAAAAAAATATCAAAATAAACTAGAAATATAATGCCTGTACAAAAAATGCTACTGCTATTAGACTTTTTGAAGGAAAATGAAAATTAAATCTCTTCAATGTGATTCCAAATTGTTCGTAATACTACAAAAAAAACATGAGAGTTAAAAGGCCGGGATTCAGCTATCATTAACATTCCTGTACTCAAGAGATTCCTCTAGAAAATACAGGATGTCAAAATAGTAACTAGGTCTATATTATAGGTTCTATATTGAATAATACAATATTCGTATAGTATTCGTATATTGCAGTTTTTGGAAAAAATACAATTTTATAATAATAATCATAATAAAAATCATAATTATCATGATAATAATATCAAGAGGGTGTGAATTTGAGCTTTTATTTTCCTTTTACTTTCCTGTCAATTTTTGAAAAAATTTGGTCCAAAAATCAAGACTACGAGAGGTTTACTGCTTTGTTTTTGGAATAATCAAACAGAGAGATGGGAAAAATAGAAGAGAAACATTAAAGAGTAATTGAAATGATACTGGAATTATATATCAATCATGTGCCATGACAGATGTCTAGCAGAATGCTGGATGAGATGTTTATCTTCACATTGACTCTCTTCAATTCCCTCACTTAGTTTCCCAAAAACAATTATTGTTGACTTTGACTGTGTCGGTAATAATCGACCTAGTTCATTGGTTTTCGGAATGAATGGTCGAATATCAAACGAATTATGGAGCAAGAAAATAAATCAGATTCTGATGTAGTGAGTGATTTACTTTTCGGAAGTTGCACCTCTCCACCTTTTTACTGAAAATAGAAGTTTGATTTATGACAATTTCCATTTTAGAGACTTAATGCGAAGTTTTTAAAATTGTGTTTCCTACAAGAACTTTATTTTTTTGTAGAGAATCTTATCACGAACAAAAAGATAGTTTATATTATTGCAGTTCCCGAGATATTTAGAGGAGCCTGGATACAACACACACACAGGCAATTATGCCTAGGTATGTTGTTCTAAGAGAGCAAATCTAACCCTGATTTGTATAAAAAATGTTATATTGTTGTAATTCCTTTCATAATGATAGATCCTGAGCTGGACCTGCTCGATCTATTGAAAGGAATCAAAATTCAGTAAAATAATCAACCAGCATCAATTTCATCTGACTGACGTAGTTTTCAGACCTACGCAATAATTCCATAATGAAATACGTAATTAAACATCACCCCTCTCAAAAATTCATATGGTTTGCAGCCCCAACATGCCCTGCCGGACGTTTTCTTATGGATCATAAGCGGAGGAAAAAGGCAGGCCTACCAACGTATAGCCGCCAGGGACATCATTTATTCAATGGTAGACGAGGAATGCGGCCGAGATTGTGGAAAGGTCCAAACTATGTTTCTGAAGGTGAGTTTGACTTCATTTGATTTTATTATGAAAGACAGCAATCGATTTGAAAGTTTGTTGTTTCCAAAATATTCCCGTAGGTAATTCAAAATGTTTTTATATGCAGAAGAGAATTAGGTCGAACCTGATAACAAATGTGATCAGTCTGGTTGAATCTAATAAAATCTTATGATCGCTCTCCAACATTTATTTAGATGATGAAAATTCTATCCTTCTTCTTGCCAATGACTTTGCTTCCAAAGAAGACATTTTTTATCTCGTCGATAACTCCATTGAGTCCCAATGTGTTCTTCTCTTGTATTTTTACTGGATACCAAGTGCTGTTCTTATTTTACTTTCACATTTACCCAGTGTTCCCAATGTAGCAACAGGTAATGCGTTTAACCGAGCACCAGATTCTTCAATATTAATAACGGCTTTGAGGCGAGCTTTTTCAGAGGGAGATAACAAGGATGAAATGATACAGTGAGAAGCAACATCTAGTGAAGGTTTGTCCCGTGCTTTCTGAAGTAATTTGAGACCGTAGGCAAATGATTTTTGGTTTGAGAACACCAAATGAATTTGACTTCGAGGGCTAAATCATCTATTGTATTGTTGAAGGAGATTGAAAGTATCATTTCTATCAATTGCGGAACATCGTTGATGGAAGACATAAATGCTGGTACAGCCAGCGATGACGAGCGTAGATCAAACCGTCCACGATTCACATCAATCTTGCTTGAGACCAAGAAATAGCAGTAAAACAGCTGGTGTACTATAATTTTGAATTGCCACATAAAATTTGTGATTCAATTCATCTATAAAATATTATAAAGACATAATTGAATGAAATATCATACGATATATGCCCTTCAGGTGGAAGAATCACCACAAAATCACTATCATGATTGAATAATATATCCAATGATTTATTAGTTTCATTATAGCTGGTACTCGGATATCTGTTAATGGTAGACTTTATACAGAATTTGGAATCAATACCGTCAGAAATGACGCATTTAACACACTAATTAAAGTGAAATTTATTAACACCCTGCAAACGACGTGACATATTTATCAGTTTTCTTAACCCGCTTATTGGTTTACCGTTTCCAACAGTAAATATTGTGGCGAGTTCAAATCTGTTTATCTTTCATTTTTAGCCGCAAGGAATGGGAAAAGCGAAGGGACCGTGACAAACGATTCACTATTAATAATTCGTAAAGCCCTAATAAACTCTACTGTGTGAATAGCACTACGCCTGATTGAAAACCTTTTCGGTTCAATGCCGCCGCCATGCATGCTGCAGAAAAACACGTAGTCAATTATGATATTGTTTCATTATTGGGGTTACTTTCAGTGATACTTCGAACGATTATTTACTCTTCCAGATATTCATATATTAATAATAACAATTTGTTTTCCCAACACAATATTTATAGCAGGGAAAAACAATAATTCAAAAAACAAACTATAACATAACTAAGTACGAACAGAGCACACAAAAAAGATAAATCAGAACGGAAAATTGAAAAAAATATATAAATATACATACATATACACACATATAATCATACATATACAGCGTTACTCACGGTCGATGGTAGGTTAGACGTTTCTGGAAAACGCAAAGCATGATTTTTCTGAAAATTTCACCTTCCACATTTCCTTACCTGTTCTATCGATCTAAAATATTTTCAGCATTGCGGCGTTGCCACTTCTATCAAAAAGTCCTAGCAATTATATTTTTTTAAATGAAACACCCCGTATATTAATACAATTTTGGAATCGCTCTAGTATTTTAATAATTTTTTGTTAATAATGTCCTATACCTATCTCTATCTGTTATGTCTTAGACATGACATTTTTTTCCTGGCTAATTCTCTCATAATTTCGTTTCAGGTGGTGATTACTTTATCATATTTTATGAGAAAAATTCATATGAATGTGTGTCTCAACCTACTTCGTTTCCGAGTAACGAGGTGTCAAAAGTTTAACTAAAAATATTGTTTTCTTAATAATAACTCAAAAATCTTTTCGTCGATTTCAAGTACTTACCTGATTGATATTTATGTTGTCGTAGAGGATCCACTATCCACTTTTCGTCACACGATCCAATCCAAAAAAAGGATCGTTCTGGTTGCGCTAAAAAGAGGCAAAAGTTAAAATCAAATCGAGTACAAAATTCTCGGAAAGAAATCTGTTTGAAAATTGGTATCTAATATTATCACGTAACTGTATAGGATTTCCTATTTCACAAAACAATTCTACATAGAACTTTTTTTTCAGCTGCCTGGAAAGAAAGGAATCGGTCCGAGCGGCTGGTCCATTCCTGCCAAATTGCAGATATATCTGTGGCTGGGCATGTTGAAATACAAAAAGAATTTCATCAACGGGATTCCTTTGGGCTACGAGAAAACTCCTGAGATTAGGAATGTCGAGCGTCCGAGAGCTTTACCACCGTCAACAATCCACTATGTGGAAAAGCACGTAAGCACGTAAATAGATGAATTTTCAAATGGGCGTTTGGAGGATTTATCAAGCTGCTAACTGCGATGACGGAACGTGCTAGACGAGAAAATTTTTATGAATGTACTGTTCTTGCGGAATATATACGAGAAATTTTCAATTTCAGATAATTTCGTTTAACGAATTTCGTGATTTCAAGTAAAAAACATTCTCCCAGTTTATGAATTCCTTCTCTTACAGACAAGGCATTTTTGAGTCAATATGATTTCTATAATGAATTACTTATTCAGATAATTTTTGTAAAATGATAAAATAGAAATGTCCCCACATCAACGGCATCAGTTTCAAATCAAATCAAAATATGCTTTATTGCCCAAGATATGTACATCTTATTAGCAAAGTCTAGTAAAGTAAAACATGTATATGGGACAATTAACAAATATAAACTATAAAATAATGCTTAGAGACAAGAGCAGAGTATATGAACAGAACAATATTAAGCCCAACTCAACAGATACAAATATAAGTACATGGATATTGAGTAAATGTAAATATATAATGCTACGTAATGTACATTGATAGCCATTTCGTGTTGATTTCACTAACTTATTTACACAAAGCTACATGCCAATTACTAGATAGAGCCTTGGTAGAATTCGTCCACACTATAATATGGCCTCCCAACAAGGAATTCTTTTACTTTCTTTCTGAATCTCTTTTCATTATACATTCGCCTTAAATTAATGGGAAGGTGGTTGAATAACTTCTTGCTATTGAAAATAATAAAATTTTGTGTAAGGGCTAGAGATGGTGTGGGAAGGGAAACGGAGTAAGACTGACGTGTACTATAAGTTGAGGTGTTATTAAATTGATTTTTATATTTTTGTGGATAAGACAAACTGTTTCCAAAATAAAAAGACATACTAAGGTCAGAATTTTTTGCTTCACCAATAATGGGCGGCATGAATCCCTTTTTGATTCATTATCGACATCATTACATCATATTGAAATTGAAAACAACTGATATTTTATTTCTTTTAGTTGGAAACTTTCCTCAAACATGAGGAAACAAAAGAAGAAATGATTAATGCAAATTGTTTCAACATTATACATATGGGTGATCCGAAGTGTTCCCAGTTTTATTTTCATTAGTTCAAGATAACAAACAAAAATTCTGATGCAAATATTAATCATCCAATTCTAATGTTATCTCTATAAGCAAAGAGCGGCTCAGTTAGAAAGCAATATTCTGAAGCTTGTTGACTGGTTTACATCTCAAATTCGTAAACCCATGTCTCATCACCAGTTACCGTGCGTTTTATGTATGTAGGGTTCAATTTACTCGTTCTAACATGTCTTTAGCGACCATCACGCTATTGACTTGTTGCAGAAAATTCAGGTCTTTTGGCACTAGTCGAGTGGAAAAACTGATTCCTTGGACGCAAAATTTCAGCGTTTGTCTCTCTCAGACTTGAAGGATAATTTTCAGTCACCATTTCTTTTACATTAACGATGTTAAGTTCAATTGAATATGACGATGGCCGACCAGAGCGAGAGGCATATCTTTCCACCACACAGGCATATCTTTCCACGGTGCAGGAATCTTCACAAAAAAATTCCTGCATATGCAATTGGCAATACAACTGAAAGAGTCGACCTTCAATTTTGGAACGGGCACACTTGCAGACCGGTTTCGGGCTCATTAGCCACTCGTCAGTGCAAGATAGTGGCCATCATCAACCTAAAGTCAATGGTATTCCATAATTGAAAATTGGAATTCTTTCAGAGTATTTCATTCCTCTTCCTAAGTTGAAGCGAACATCACAAAATGTCACTCCATCTAGTGGACAAGATACTAACCAACTGCTTATCCGTAATTTGCCCGATTCCTCTGACTAAGGAAGAAAAACTTTCTTATTAGTCAGTGGGTTATGCTTGAAAACTGGCAGTAAACAAATCCAAAGAAATGAACTTTAAACATTCAAGCCAGACTCGAATATACCTACACAGCAGGTTGAATGGACTGGCGCCTGTCACAAAACAACTACTCCCCTGACTAATACCACGAAAGGCGTTGGATTATATCCGACAGGATATCATTTATGAGAACGCTTCGTCAATTTCCTTCTGTCAAGAATATAAAATCTGAATGTCAATCACTTGATGCCCTGATGAAGTGGTCAGTCATTCCTACGTCTTCACTTTTAATCGCAGCCAGCAAACTCACATATATTTCCTTCAATTGCAGCGTCACTATATTCAACGATATCACTTTATTTGTTTTAAGATTTTTGAACTCCGCGCTCACATCTACCAAGCTAGATCCCTGATTGGCAGCGACGCTTCAGGTCTGTCGGATCCCTTCGCCAGAATAATAGCAGGAGAATTCAGCAAGACAACCCAAGTCATAGATGAAACCCTGAGTCCCACTTGGGATGAGCTGCTGATCTTTGAGGAAATTCTCATTTACGGTGATGGTGACGAAATCAAGAATGATCCACCTCCTATAGTGATCGAAATCTTTGATCAAGACAAGGTGGGGAAAAGTGAATTCATCGGAAGGTCCTTGGCGAAGCCTAGTGTGAAGCTCAAGGATGATCCGTATGAGAAGCCGAAATTTCCGCCTTCTCTGGAATGGTAAATACATCTACTTTCTTTAGTATTCAATCCAAACACTCTTATATTAATTATTTTCACTAAGTCTCTCCCATGGAAAGAAACATTCTTCGTAAATCGTTACAATTACTTCTGTTACTGTAAATCAATTGCAGGGAATGACGTGTTGAGACGTAAAATCTATAGTCCGTTCATAATTTGTCGATAGCACAAAATGAGGGCCCAAGTCATAAAACGGTCGTAAAACTCGTAAAATCATAGGCGGAGGTTCCTGAGGTGTTTATTCATTAAATATAAAGCTTCAGTTTATATTCGAAACTTGCCTTGAAAGGGTGAAGTTGTTACGAACGAAAATAATTTTTGGTTTAGTACATTTTTTAATCGCATTTAATTTACGGCTCGTTGGTGTTTCGGCGTCTACGGCAGTAATTAACGTCTCTAATATTTATTTTGCGAATTTTGTGCAGTGCGTGAGTAACTTTTTTTCATATTCCTACAAACATA